AGTGTTTATATAATGAATCCTATTTAACTTCACTACGAGGTGAATAAACTGTTCAAAAATTTGTTAAACTGAACAGCAGGCCTGCTAGGTTCTGATTTCTTTCTTCTCCGTCTAATAAGCAAATAATAGCGATCTTCTCTCGAATAATAAAGAGTTGAACTGTCAATTTGTCTCACAATTTTTTTCATATTTATTCTTATACACATTTCACAGCTTAATTGTTCCTAGCCGCGACCAATGAAACGTTCCGCTTTACTTGACGGTGTTAGAAATGTGGCAAACAAGGATAATGCTACATATTGCGATATTGGCGATTGCCACTACGACCTTGGTGATTTCAAATCAGCTTTACGTTTCCACAAGCAGTACTTAGAGGCGGTCAAAAAGGCAGGAGATAAAGCTGGTGAAGGCCGTGCGAATGGCAGCCTTGGAATGGATTACAGCAGTCTTGGAAAATTAACCGAAGCTAAAAGTTGCTTCAAAGAACAACTAAGCATTGCCAAGACAGTGGAAGACAGGGCTGAGGAGGGAAGAGCCAACGTATCTCTTGGAAGTACATATGCTCCTGGAACACCTTTGTGGGAACTTGAACGGTACAATACATCCGCTCTTGAAATTGCCAAAGAAGTAGGAGACCCAGTCTTGGAGGGCAATGCCAACCGTAATCTTGGCAAGATGTATGGTCTTCTTAAAAGATGGAAGGATGCTTTGGCACACTTCAGCCGATACCTNGCTGCCTTGGAATGGATTATCGCAGCCTTGGAAAATTAACCGAAGCTCAAAATTGCTTCGAAAAACAACTAAGCATTGCCAAGATAGTGGAAGACAGGGCTGAGGAGGGAAGAGCCAACGCATCTCTTGGAAGTACATATGCTCCCGAAACACCGTTGCAGCTTCTTGAACAGTACAATACATCCGCTCTTGAAATTGCCAAAGAAGTAGGAGACCCAGTTTTGGAGGGCAGTGCCAACCGTAATCTTGGCAAGATGTATAGTCTTCTTAAAAGATGGAAGGATGCTTTGGCACACTTCAGCCGATACCTGAGTATCGCCGAGGAATCGAAGGACAGAGCAGCCGAGGCCAGAGCTTATGGCGATCTTGGCAGTGTTTATCTTGCTCAGGGTAATCTCAAGCAAGCCATTGAATGCCAAAATCAGACTCTATGCATTGCCCAAGAACAGGGGGACGATGCTGAACAAGGTAATGCATATTATCAACTAGGTTGTAGTTACGAATCTCTG